AAAAAGTAACACAATATCTGTTCTTATTAAAGAGAAAACAAGAATTTAAAATAGGGAGTTACTTTCCAGACACCCTGTAGATATAAACTTTAATTTGAATAAGATATATAATTTTGACAAGTCATTCTGAAGTGTCCCACAATTTTTGGCGTAGGGTATACAATTCAAAAATAATTAGATACAACTAGAAAAATAAATAAGCAATTAAAAGAACAATAAGCATTAGCAAGTACTCATAAAGGAACGATCACTTGATGATCCATATGCACATGTTCGTTATTCATTCTAAGTCTTCGTAAATATTGAAGATTCATCATCACGAAAGTGATTGATATTGAAAAAAAGTCTCACACTCACACCCTTAATCTAGATTCGCCGACTATATCGATCGATGGAAATTCAGACAAAAAGGAAACCATTATTTATTGTAATGGCTCATTCTTTCGAGACTAAAACAGTTTATTTCGGTTCATCTTGAATATAAATATAGCAAAGAGAAAAAATATAGAAGAAAACACAAGATTGTCACACAAGCTAGTTAAATAACATAGTAACATCTTGATTTGTCTATTCACTAGCTGACTATACAGCCAATAGCTCTTTCTGCATCTTGAAGACAAATTGGTTGGCAATTCAAACATGGACGACCGACAAATTGCGGATATTGGCGATAGACCCACACTCTTGAGCGGCATGTAGAACATGTGTAATAGATTTTATCAGAATCACTCATTTGTTACTTGTCTTTACATTGCAAAAAAGAACTGGTTTCATCAAATGCAAATAAGTTGATTTCTTCGTATCACCAAAATTTTATATTGAATAGCAATGATTGGTAAGTAATGAGAGAACTATTGTTTTGCTTTAAAGGCTTGCCTATTTATACTGTTCTTTTACTAATCTTCCTAATTTTGTGGAACTCACGCATGTTTTCGAAGAAAATAGTGAATGTAAGTTTTCAGTTCGAGGTTGGCGGCTTCCCCCACCCCATTACAGACACATAGCAACGGGAAAGAGAACATTACAGACATCTCCCCATTACAGACCTTAGCAACTTCGTGAAAAAACAAGTTCTGTTCGAAACTTAGAGTTAAAAGTATAGCATTTTCTACTAATCGATTATCTTTAGAAAAAAAATTCTTATATTTTGGAGATTTTAAATATTGGGTATTTTGTCATTAGTATAATGGAACCAAAGGAGATATGTGAGTTCCACATTTCAGCCCCAAGGGGGCTGCGCTAACAAGCTTTTTTCCCTGCACGAAAGAAAGGCGCAGAAAAAGACGTACAGAAGTGATGTAAAAAAGATTTACAGGAAAAGAACGTACAAATGGGCGTATAGAAAATGACGTATAGATTTAGACGTACAGAAAGAAAAATGCCATATCGAAAATATGATTTCATTTGGTATTTATCCGTATTTTTTATGTCTTTCAAAAAATGCTTGTTATTTTTTACCAATGCTACCTACTCCAATGATAAAGCGTATCAAATACAACTTCTTCCCTTGTGATCTGCTAGTTGGCATTCGACAAAATAATTGGCAAGATGGTTCAAAATAAACATTAGGAAGTAACCAAAGGACGGGGGCGCATTTGAATACATTTTGGCCCTTTTGATTTCCATTATGAAAACTAACTCAATCATACATAAATCGATAGATTATTGACTCCTGATCATTTTGATGCTAAATTCAACGTATTTTTATGAGATTCTAAGTCTTCTCTGGGTCTGTCACATGTACCACCTATGAAGTACAGTTATATTCTTAATTTTTCATGAAAGCAACTTTCACCAAATTTCTTTTATATACCATTCGATAGAGCTTTCCAAGCTCTACAAAACTAGATATTTTTAAGAATTTTAAAAAGTGGGCCCATATGTCAAAAATACCATATAATAAGTTTGATATTCATGAAAAGGAGACTTTTGACTTGGTTTTCAATATGTATAGCAAAATATATCTCTTTGATGAACAAGTTAATATCTATATTAATTGTTCAAATTATCGTCTATGTCAAGCGCTTCACTCAGCTGTTCATGACTCAAAGGGTAATATAAATTATAATTATGTTTGTCTTATCTTTTTCGAATATATTGCTGGAATGCAGTATATTGACGATCATGTGTTAGATTATAATAGTTTATTTGAAATAAAATGCTAAACGATATTTGGTCCCTACTCAAGTGCTTCATCGAGTTTCTGATGATCTGAATTAGCTGCTTCTGATGAACTTGTTAACGAGTATAATGAAGTGAATGAGTTAAATACGATAGTGGTAATATGAATAGGAATACAATCAAGATAGTTATGTCCGTTACCATCACCAATCCAGTTCTGTGTCGTTGGTGGCATTTGCTGTTCCGATTGTTCCACGCAAATCATTTATATCATTGTCAGAGTTATATTCATCATCGGAAAACTTCATGCTATCATCGATAGCGGTAAGTAATTTTGAAGCTGAAAGTGGATGAGTTGATGTAGGTACCATAGCTCTTTCAACTCCTATATGCCAAAGTAATGCTGTAATATGAGAGCACATACCTACTTCGCGACCACCCACGGAGCATGTACAGAACCACCCAGTTATAGGTTGTTCATTTTCCCCATTAAATCTCACCGTAGCTATATATTTCTTGCGGTTTGAATGGCGGGATTGAAATCGAGCTCGTGCCAAATCATCATGTTCTCCAAATAGTTCCACAACAAATTCAAGTTGTTTTTGATTAATATCGAACTGTTGGAGATGATCGACTATGTATGATTTTGCCATTTTGATTTGATATGACCCTGGAATAAAGAAATCTTCCAACGAAAGACTCAAATTCGCACATCATCCTCTGTAAGCGACGGGAAAAGACACATTGCAGCATTGTATTTAGACCAGCGCAATGTTTCTCCTTGATCTAGTTCTCGAAGATGTTTTTCCAATGCATTTTCCGCCTTCTACATCTCAGGCATTTGTGCAGCGATCGCTTGGCCATCTTGTATATTTGCGATGGCTGGACAGTAATATTTATTAATGAGAGCGCATACGATATCTAAGCAGCTTCCAGCAAACGGAAGCGATGTGTTTTGAAGCGTTTGCCCGAAGAACTTCTAATTTTTTATTTTTCCATTTACTAAGAAATTAAGAAATCGAAAAATAAGTTTTCATTGATTATTCGAGCAGCTTCGCTCATGTTCATCACCAAATATCGCAACCTACCACTTTCAACAACCCATCTCGTTTTTGTTACAAAACGAATTCTGTTCGCTTCATCGGGTGAAAACTGCTTTTGATTGTGTAAAAAACCCGGCATAGCAACTTGGAGACGAAGACGAGTGAGCGTATTGACAACATCGCGAAACTAAGAAAAACAACATGAGACATCTGATTTTTTTTTAATAATTTACCCCGCGATCTAATATTAAGATGTCGTCATCACGCAACCAATTCAAAATCTGTTGCTCATTATTGAGCACACAATGCTTTAAAATTGCCGCATCATTGTTTGACGAGTTGGCGAAAAACGGACCCAGTAAACTGAGTATATAGCCATCCTATACGAGTAATTAGTTTTCATAAAAAGAAAAATTATGCTAAAATGGACACGAAAATGATTATATTTGATTAGAATTTGATTGAAGATCGATTATTAATTGATTTCGAATCGATTAAAATGAAAAACCAGTCATAATAAGCGTTAGTTGCACAATTTCTTCAATTATTTTTGATTATATTCATTCAATAATCGATTGATTATCAACTAAAACTTTAATGCTTATGATCGATTACGTTTATTATTTATTATTTATAATTTTTTATTTTTCATTTTACAGATAGACGGTTTCTTTGTCTTGATTTTCGAAAGAATACTTTTTGTTTACGTTTATTTAATTAAATATGAATAAAATGACATTCTCGATTCTCGCTTGGTATGATTACCATTTCTAGCATTCGTTAGATCTTTTTATCTTTCTTAATCCTCGACCTTTTATGTTACTCACGCTCGCGGTAATTATCATTGGTTTTATGAGATGACGATGTTTATGGTTACTGTAAGTACGTCTTTGAAATTCATGGTTCGACGACTTTTGACAATAACGATAGGTTCCATCAGCTAGTAAAACAATCTGATCAGGTTCATTCGTAAGAAGTTCAGTGGCAATGACTGTTTGATGATAATTAAGGACTACATTACGTGTAATATGTTGAAAACCGAGATCTAATGGTATTGTGGTACAAATCGACGTTTTTGACGAGAATCATAGCCAATAATATCAAACTTCAGTGTAATGATTTCTAACCATTCATTCACGTTTTCGTTGGTTATTTAGAAAAAGAGGAGATAGGGTCAATAATTTTCCCGTCTTGGTGTTTCTGGGTGGTGGTAGTAGGTCGAGTCATTTTCAGATTCGAAACAGATGATGTATCGTTGGACATAGGTTCAGGATGGGAGTGAGCTTCGTAACGTTTGTTTCTCTCTTGTGCTTGTATAGCTGCCCGGATTGGAGCTTGATGCAATTCTTCGGCAAGAATACAATAAAAATTGAACAAAATCCGGATTAATTAACCGATCTACTGATCAATGGTTTCAAAAAATCGACTAGCGCACGATTGGGAAGATTACCATCACTTTATTAGAACAGTAATATAAATAAATGTAAAAACAAAACGAAAAATATCAAGAAAGCAGAAAAAGTACATTCTCATGTTCCTTAAGCTCTAATATGCATGGATTGAGACATGGACGAAGAATAAAAAAAGAATATATGAGAGAAGGAAAAAACAAGCAACATAAAAATATGATGTTGTATCATGGCAGTAGCCATGGCAAGCTCATATTTATTTTCATCTCTTCCATTTTTCATTCTTCAGTCAGATTCTGTATGTTCTAAGCCGTTCATATCACGATAAAGTCTGTGGTTTTTCTTAATATTCCAGTCATTATTTGACTTGATAAACACAATATCACCGGTATTCCCATACTGAACACCACTCCAACCAGTCTTCTCGTTCAGCATTTCATGTCTAACACGTGAACGAAATTCTTTTGCATTTATATCAGTCTTCCACATATTCTGTTTCAGAAATGAAAGAATTTTTTCAATAACCAAATCTGGCAATTTCTGTTGATTATTCTCGTCTTCAATACTTTTCAAGAGCGTTAAACATCGTTCATAACTAATTAACGGTAAATTTGAAATTGATATTTCTTTGATTGGGTTATGAGGACATACAACAAAAAAGTTGAGAAAAGTACGACGACGAGCAATGGATGTTGTATTGCGTATTGAACAGAAACGATGCGGTAGAGAATTATCAAAAACAATAGCTGTGTCTGTTTCTGGCATTACATAACGGTTAACTTCAATGCGCCATATGTCAGCATAACTTTCTGACGGTGCTACTGATGGACGGAACTTTAACGCACCACCTTCTAATTCATCATCAATGAACAAGTAGTATACACCAACTGCCTGTATGTTTTCAGTACGGCCTTCAGTATGCCAACGACCAGAATATTTCATTCCTACAAAAAAAAGACAAATTTTCCAACAATCATAAGTAAATTTATCGTTATTAATTTGTTTTTGAAAACGATTACTACACTAAAATGACTAAAAAGTATATAGCAAGGACTTATCGTTGGGTTCTACTAGTCTCAACATATTTTATCTAATGAAAAAGTATATCATCTCAAATACGAGATAACATGTTAAATTATTTTCTCATTCGTAATTGTAGAACAAGATAAATTCTGAGAAACATAAGATGAGTCTTTAACTACTATTAATAACTTTATCTGATTTAAGATACTCAAGAAGACTTTTTTCCCTTTCTGTAAAAAACTAACGGCTCGTTTTTGAGAAACGTATCAGGATATCTGATTAAGTCTAGATCTCAAAGAGTAAGTCTTTTTAAAGTTAGATCGAATGACGATTAGGAGTGTTGCAAATCGATATTAAAGCTATTTGATAAAACTATTATCTTCTCTTATGCATTGGACATCAAATATCGAACAAACCATTCTATCTTCAAACTAAGATCAATAATTATTCTTAATTATCCATATACTTACTCGGTTGAATATTATAACTTTGCACTTTTAAAATAACTTGCAGCCGTGTATCACCCTTCTTTTTATCGAAATGTAATATTTCTCCAAACATAGGCACGAATTTTGCAAATATTTTCTCTAAATTTTTGTATGTCTTGGCATACTCTTCAGTCATTGGCAAATGGCTAATCGGTGTTTCAATATGCACTTCACAATCATCATTGTCACCATGACAAATGCGAAATTCACTTGGTATCCATTGATATGATCCACGTAAAGTTAAGGTATCATAATTCCATCTGTTACATAGCTCATATTCCAATTTATGCTTTTCCTCAAAATCATATTCATCATCATTATAATCACGAATTGGTAACGACGGAGGCAATGGTGGTTTTATAGGTTTACACACCAATAGATCAGGATCAATGATATCTTCAACTGGTGATGGATATTTATGAAAATCTTCTTGTTTATTATTCAATGCATAAAATCCTTCTAATAGCTCTTCTCTTGGATTATTTCCCAAATAATTGCTATCTTCTGATAGACAACCACGTATCCAAACTGGATATTCAAGATACAGGCTACCACCGTCGCCATAACAAACAAGTCTTCTGTGGAAATCGTATGGTTGATAGTAGTTACCATTGCTGGGTATAGAAACACATTGGTTAGTAATACGTATAGTTTCTCGTGACCATTCTTCTTCGTCGGACATATTGTCATTTATTTCATCATCATCATGATGACTATTACTGTACACTGTCGTTGACATAAATATGTCTTCTATTCTCGTTAGTGTGTAAAAGTAATGTTTTGAAAGATGTTTCTGTATAGCTTTTATATATACCTACTCTCATCTTTTAATATTTACGTAATCATCTTGATTTATATGTCAGTATTCTGATACATAAAGCAAATATTGCGTCACTCATAGGAAGAACGAAATAGAAGAAAAAAATATTTATTTAGTAACATTTCAAAAACACCTAAGCAAACAAACAAAAAACCACTTACAATTATTAAAAGATAACAAAAAAATGTATAAAATATACGCTTCTATCTTCAGTTCTTCTTGCCTCCTTTTAGACTCTATTCATCAAAATTCTTGAAAATTGTATCAAATCGATATTTATTAAAATGACCATTTTTCAAATGAGTCATCAATGCTGAAATTCTTTCTAATCTCAACTAATTTTGATCATTTTTCTGCACGTTCTATAATTATCCATCACTTTTCGCTACTGCCATTGAATCGACTTGTGTAATGAATCTTAATGTCATGGATGTTGATAACTCTTGCGTTCTTTATGAATTTATAGAAGAATTGAAAAATCACTGTCTCTTCCGTTCTATGTGAGACCAACACTTTCATTTTCTTTCTGTTTTCAGGAAGTAAAGGAATAAGTAATTCCTACATCAAAATTACGTCTGAATGCGTTTGTTTTACATATTTCGATCACGCATAAGCTATAATTCTGACGCATTTTGATTCGAAAAATATTTCCATGAATAAATACTATACGAATGCTTTGCCGCACGGCATGAAGAAAGAAAGAGAAGAGAGAATGAATCAAACGGAAATGTTTCAACTCGTCACGTTTTTTCTTGTCTGGCTTTCGTAACGAATTGACAGTACGAAAGCCCGTGACAGAGCTTTCGTAACGACAGAATCAGGGCTTTCGTAACAAAAAATCAGGGGTTTCGTAACAAATTTTACAGGGTGATCGTAATTGGTGTTTTAATATGTGCCATTACAGAGCTTTCGTAACGAAAAGCATGTAATTTCTGCAAACTAAGTCCAGCTATCACCCTCATCCTCATTACGAAGTCCCTGTTGCTTCGTTGCGAAAGCTCTGCAACTGTTACGAACTCCCTGTATTAATCGTTACGATCGCCCTGTAAATTTCGTTACGACATCCCTGTATTTTTGGATATCCCTACTTTTGGTGTTACGAAAGGTCTGATTTTTGCTGTTTGTTCAACTCGTCACGTGACGATTTGAAACGTTCTCAATCAAACAAACGGATCACGAGTGCTCCACATCACATCATATCACATTAAATAAATATAACTACTTTTGGAAGTAATAAATAATTAGTAAGTAAATAGTTTGCTGCATTGTAGAAAAAAACTGAATTTTACATAAGCACACGTTACAATATCTCGAGCAACATAAAAAACTATTGATGTTAATCCAGAAGAAGACTTTTGTTGTTTTTATATTCATCAAAGCAAGAAAAGTATTCAATTAATTTGGTGTGGCGCATGCTGTAACGATGACACAACCATTGCAAATGTAATAATTGGGTGCAATGTGCAGTACATGAAAGAAATGCTCACTGCAGTGAGCACATTGGTAAAGTTCTCTTGCAAATAATTTCGAATGGATCGAATACATCAAATCAATGGATAGTAATGCATCTACTACTTTAGTCATTTCAGACTCATATGTATGAACTGTTCTACTTTCTTGAAAGCGAGATGTGAGTTTCATAGAATAAGTTCGTAAATTATATATGAAACTTATCTGTGTTGTAATAGGATTCGCGAGTAGTTTATATTTAAAAATAGAATCCAAGAGTTATAAATTAGGTGAATTCGACGATCAACAGTACCTCAAATCTCTTTTGTTTTTTTTTTTATAAATATCACTTATTTTTGTTTCTTGATCTTCTTGTATCAAGAATAATCAAAACCTTTACTGTATGCTCAAAAGATTCGAAGAATATGTCGAATAGTTAGAGTCCATGTTTTTCATCATTTTTATCCACATTTCAATTGCTCAATTGGAAAGTGATTTATTTAAATCACAAGAAATTTTCATATTTAGTTTTTAAAACTATTTGTATGCCTTTACTTTTTATATCTTTTATTGAAATACATCTAAAAGAATTTTCGAATCGAATCATATACAGTTTTTCTAGAGAATTTTAAGGTCAATCTTTTAATAAAAACAATTGTTTTAAATAATATGATCAATATAGAAAAGAATTTGAAAATACAAATAATATAGTTCTTCATGAATAGGGGTGGCACTTTAACTTTATTTTCCTTTAATAAAGTAAAGTAAAGTAAAGCATTTTACTTTACTTTATTGAGTAAAGTAAAGTAATTTACTTTACTTTACTGAGTAAAGTAAAGTTAGTGTACTTTACTTTACTCGGTAAAGTAAAGGAGATACACTTTATCCAAAAAGTAAAGTAAAGTAAAGTAAAGTAAAGTATCTCTTACTTTACCAAACAAGTAAAATATAATAAAATAAGAAAAAGTACAGTACGTAGTTGATGGTTATTGACATATTAGAATGTGATTAATGTCTGATAATAAACTAATAAACTAATAAATCAATAACCATCAACTACTTACTTTACTTTATCTTATTATATTATATCTTACTTGTTCGGTAAAGTAGATCTACTTTATCCGAAAAGTAAAGTAAAGTAAAGTATAGTAAAGTAAAGTATCTCTGACTTTACCGAACAAGTAAGATGTAATAAAATGAGATAAAGTAAAGTAAGTAATTGATGGTTATTGATTTATTAGTTTATTATGGCTTGTATTTATTTGAGCAATAAAAATATTGGAATGAGCAGTAATTTATACATGATTTGGCAATAATGTGTGAGCAGTAAAAAAACTTGATTTGAGCAATATTATAAAATTAAACGAGCAATATAACATTAAATGAGCAACATTATAATATTATATAAGCAATATTATAATATTATATAAGCAATATTATAATATTATATAAGCAATATTATAATATGAAATGGGCAATAAATAATTTGCTATATGGCAATATCAATTTCATATTCGAACAATAAAAGAGAAAAAATGCACTATTATGTCTGTGATTGGCAAGAAACAGAAAGAAAAATGAAGTATATATAACTGATCATTGTACCAATAAAGGGTTTTTTACTTTCGATGGTCTGACTCTTTTTCTTTTCGAACAAATTTCCACTATTTTGCCTTAGGTAGAGGCCTGCAACCTTGTAATCTAGTTAAGATGCCAATGTAGCATACCTGTCAAACACGAGAAGACGCGTGAAGACCGCAATATCGGGATGAGAGAGATAGTGACTGTGTAAAGCCAGTGAGATTGTGGATTAGGGTCTTTTGTTATTACAAAATATCGACGCCATATAAAACTTCGTTGGAACCTCATAGATCCTGCTAGACCCGATCGATTCTACTAGACTCTTGTAGGTTCTTTAGACCCTGGTAGGTATTGTAATCCTGCTAAATCCTGTATAGTCTGCTACAATCTGTGGGCCCTGCTAGAGTCTGTTAGCCCTGCTAGATGCTGCTAGACTGTGAGCCCTGCTAAATCATGCTAGACTCGGTGGGCCCTGCTAAATCCTGCTAGACTCTGTAGACTCTTGCAGGTCAAGCTCGATCATGCTAGACCCTTGGAAACCACCGAGATCCTGCTAAACCCTACTAGACTTTGTAGACCCTTCTAGATCATGCTAGGTTCTGATAGACTCTATAGGCCCTTCTAGACCTGCTAGACCATGCTAGATCCTTGAAAACCATTGAGAATCTGTAAAACCCTGCTAGATCATGCTAGACTCTGTAGACCGTTGTAGACCACGCTCGTTCCTGCTTGACTTCCGTAATTCGTAGAACATTTAGAACCTGTCCATGCAAATGATCAAATAGTGAGTTATTTTGTACTTCAATTCCATCATGAACTCGGAGCTTGAGAAGACCTTTACCATTATAAGTAACGGAACTATCATTGTTCCTTTTATATACATTTTACGCTTTATTCAAATTATTTATTGCTCATTCCAATTAATTATTACTCATTCAATATATTTATTGCCCGTTCAATATATTTATTGCTCATTCAATATATTTATTGCTCATTCAATATATTTATTGCTCATTCAATATTTTTATTGCTCATTCAATTTTTTTATTGCTAAATTTCATTACTGCTCATTTCAATTTTTTTATTGCTCAATTAAATATAAGTCGTTTATTATCAGATATTAATCATATTTTAATACATCAAAAGTTGTGTCGAATTACGGATCGAAGGCGCCGAAAAATTTGAACCTAATTTTATTCCATTGAGAGTCAGCATTGAACTCTGAATATTTTTCATAATTTTATTTTTTACTTTATCACAACCCAACTTTTCACATATGGGGTCCGCCTCAGGTATCAAAAATACATTTTTTCACTGCCCTATTACAGAAATTTAAAATTCAATAGTACCAAGTGTAGTGATTACAAATATCTCATTTGTTTTCAAAAGTACTCAGATAATAAGAAAGATTGGAAGCATTCCCTAGCACCATTAAAAACTAGGTTTTGTACAAAATTTTACTGAAATACGACCAGATTCGTTTCATCGAGTTCAAAATAGACTTGAATTGATCAAAAATTTCTTTTCTAACGACACATCCATTAGAAAACATTTTCATAACTAATTTTTATGAAATATGCATTATTTAATGGGTTAGCCAAAGGCTGACTATTTGGTTAACCCACAAAATTTACCTGAAACTTTTTATAGGTAGGTCGGAGATGGAATTATATACAGCTTTGGACAAAAGTAGGTGCCCCCTAAAGTGCTATTATATTCCATCATTTCGAATTGATCTCTTGCGGGAATGCCGGCCTCATTGAACCCTGATCGCAAACACCACCACGCCCTCAATTGGTTGACGTTTGCTGAAGATATCACTTGTACATCGTCATCGCCTTACGAACGTCACATCTCGATCATTTTTCGACATTCACTTTCTCACAACC